ACTATGCTAGCAGAGTTCCTATGGGTCCATTAGTCTGACTCAAATATAGAAAAACAATTTGTCTTCTTGCACATAGTTACAGAGAACAAACCATTTCTATGATTGTGGCATGTTAGTATTTATAGTGTCCTTTGTTATAAAATGCTAGCTTTTTTCCTGTTAAGAATGCCATTGAATAAGTCAATTTTGTTTTTGCAAAAGGAGGTCTTCAAATGTTCAGCCAAATCATGATTCACATAGTTTTGTATCCTTTCCAAAGTGTCTGATTTATTTTTCACTAGAAGTAACTGATGTCATTGCCATCTTTCCAGTTGTCTGTTTTCGAATGATGTAATTGTTTGAGACTAAAAGTTTGCATGTGATAACTGCCTACGTCCCTCAATATCCAAAATCACACTTCCACCATTTTACCTTGTTTCTCAAAGGATATGTTGAAGAATACATCTAAGGGACATCCTGACAGGCTTCCTCTTCAGATGGCGCTTACAGAGCTTGAAACATTAGCAGAGAAATTAAATGAAAGGAAAAGAGATGCTGATCAACGCTGTGAAATTAAACAAATAGCAAAAGCCATAAATGAAAGATACCTAAACAAGGTTGAGAGAGATTTTTTTCAATTCTATGGTGACTTAATTTTGTTTTATATTAATCAACCATCACTATTTGAGCCATTTATTACTAACTTTTTTTAATAAATAAAAAATATAGTATACTGTTAATAATTCTCATAAAATTGTATAGAGATTAATGGAGAGCTTCAGGTAGTTCATAATCTGAATATTGCATGAAAGCCTTTATTTCTCTGTTAGTATGTGCATGTTTTCACAAAAGAGGTTCACAGATTCATTAGATTCTTAAATGGATGGCACCTCAGAAAGGTTGAGAACAACTTTCTTAGCTTAATTTTACTTCCAAAATGCAGTATTTCATTTTAGATAATAATAATAAAAGCTCAAAATAATTACACATATTTTTATTTCTACTCATCTGTGCTTGGGCAAAGCTATGTTTATCATGAAAAAATGATGCATAACACAGTATGGAAATAGTTCATTTGCAAGGCTGTGGTGCAGCTTTATATTTACAAAATAATTTCCCTGCAATAACAATTTCATTTTATATAGGCTTTTGCCATATTTATTTAAGATCCTGACCCATGGAAAGATCTTATTTTGTATGAGCAGTATTAAATAATTATACATGATGTTTAGTGTTGCTAAAATCACCTTTTGTTTTTGTCGGTGGGGATAATTTCCTACCGTATATCGCCACGTAGTAATTTAACTATGAGAGCTTCATAGTAATACCATTTTAAGCCACAGCTTTTAGCTTTCTGTGAATCTCCAAATGATTTTTGTAGCAATTTTTTAAGCAGAAAATTATATTAAATTATATTCTTGATGTCACTGATAAGTTATTCAAAATAATGCATGCACATAATGTTTAAATACCCATCTCATATAAAGTAACCACTATATAGTACATAAAAAGTAGTGATGCATTACTTAGAGTACATAAATATGTATGTACATGGCTTCATTATTCCTAAGAGCATGTCAAGAAAACTTAAACTGTGAGAATGGTGTCTGCATTGCTTGGAGCTAGACAGCTTATGTAGACTTAGGATCAGAGGCCTTAAAGATCATCTGAGCTAAGAATTCTAAATTTTATATTTGGCTGATGTGTTTAATAGGTATTTCTTCTCTATGACTTTAATCACTAATTACTATAAAGGATCTTTTCAAAGCTCTAATGATATTTTGTTTGTCTCCTTGAAATAAAATACAGTATACCATAAAAAGTTAAAATTTTAATTATACTAGCTTTTGGTAAAAGTAAAATTAACAAAAATAATTTTCACTTATAAAGATTTCTAATTGATGCGTTGTTACAAAAAACAGAATGACTAACCATGGAATGAAAGTTTGTAGTGAAGAAGGCAAAACTTCAAAGAAGTCATTTTTAAGAGCGATATTATGTTAAATAATAGGTAAAACTAATGAAGCTCTTCTGTGATCAATCAGTTGTTTTAGCGATAGAAATTGTGTTAAGGAGAAACTATGATTTTATTCACTGTTTAGTATAACTGCCAGCATTGATGTTTGTAAGACATTCAGTAAATTAAAAAAAGTCACTTTCTAAACTTCAATCTTATGTACATAATTGAAGTGAGTAAGAGTAGAAGAGTGAGTGGGAATATGTGGATTATCTTTAAAGAAAAAAACCTGTGAAATGTTAACACTATAGAGTCATATGTTTTGCAACAATCATTTTTTTCTCTCTTGGTAAAAGCAATATTAGTAACTTTGTCAAGTGTTATTTTGAATATTCAGCTTCTCAGCAGTGGAAATAGATACCTCATTCGATCTGATGATATGATAGAAACAGTTTACAATGACAGAGGAGAAATTATTAAAACCAAAGAACGTCGGATCTTCATGTTAAATGATGTATTAATGTGTGCTACAGTTAGTGCACGGTAAGAAAACATTTTATTCATATGTTAGATTTAAATTACACTGTTACATGTGTCTAAGAATAAGTGAAGAATGTCATTATTTTCTCATTCTAACTGAACTGATCTGTACACCAAAGCTTAATCATTTAGTTCTGTGATTACGGGAAACCTTAAAATAAATAATCTTATTTTTAAATATATTCACTGAAAATCCCCATGTCAATGTCGTTAGAAATTAGAAACATGTAGAGGAATATTTATTTTTTAGACAAGGCTAATGTTAAATTTAGAAAGTAAATTGACTCTTTTATCACCCTCTGGTAGCATAGTGCCTATGGCACTTGACTGCTAACCAGAAGGCTGGCAGTTCAAACCCACCAGCCACTCCTCCGAAGGAAGGTTGGGCAATCTACTTCCATAGTGATACCGCCTCGGAAACCCAAGGAGTGGTCACTATGAGTCAGGGCCGACTCAACGGCACATAACAACAACAACGAATAATAATAATTTTGCATTTATTTATTTACCTTGTTCATTTTTCAGTTTCTTTCATGTTAGCTACTTCTCTATCAATACATTTTTTAAAAATACATTTTTGCTCTATGTTTTTCCTATGTAATTAGATTTGTGGTTGTTGTTATGTGCTGTCGAGTCGGACCCAACTCATAGCGACCCCTCCTTGGGTTTCCGAGGCAGTAGCACTACAGAAGTAGATCACTGCATCTTCCTTCCAAGGAGTGGCTGGTGGGTTTGAATCGCCAGACTTCTGGTTAGCAGTCTAGTGCCTTAGGCACTATGTTACCAGAGCTCCTATAATTAGATGTAGCATATTCATATTTAGTGTAAACCAAGAAAATTAGTAGCATTTTAACCTACTTTTTCTATCTTAATTTTTTCATTTAAAATAATCTTGCATGAGAACTGTTCTCCAGTAGTAGAATAATAATGTATGCTGAGGATAGTTGAGAACTTAAAAGCTCTTCAAGTATAGGAAGATTAGAAGGAAATTATTATAAAAATGAGTACAGTACTTGGTGCTATATAAAGTAATACAAGAAAAAGTAGTGTCCAGGAGCCAGTTCATAAAAGCTTGTGAGAATTAACTGTTAAATTTCCAGGTATTTTGGAGCTGGTTGCTAAGCCATTGGGCTTCAGATCATCCATGATGAGAGTATTTATTCCATGAAAACTAGCAAATGCTCTAAGTCAAGGCTCTCTTCTCCCATAAGAACCAGTTGTTTAACATTTATTAGCACAACACTGAGCATGACAATTTTCATGCCAAACATCCTCATTAAGGAGTGTTGGTAGGGCAACAATTAATCATTCAGCTGCTAACTGAAAAGTTGAAGCTTCAAATCCACCAGTTGCTCCACAGGAGAAAAGACCTGGCAATCTGCTACCATAAAAATGTCCAGCTTAGGAAACCCTATGGGGAAGTTATACTCTGTCCTATAGAGTTGCTATGAGTCAGAACTGACTTAACGTCATGTAACAACATCATCCTCATTTACTATCAAATACATGTTTCCCACCTTCCTCACCATTACTATAGAGTCTGAGGCAGTGAAGCAGTATGGATTAATATTTAAGAGGTCACCTTATGGAGTCAGACTTCTTAGAGTTGTATTCCAGCTCAACTTCCTTATAACATTGAAAAATTACCCACTCTAAGCCTTAGACTCCTCATCTGTAAAATAAGAATGGTAATAATTAAAATAATAATGATAAGGATGATAATGGTATCATGTTGTTGTTGTTATGTGCCCTCAAGTCGGACTTAACTCATAGCGACCCCTCCTTGGGTTTCTGAGGTGGTATCACTACGGAAGTAGAATGGTATCATAGAGTTGTAAAAATTAAAGTGAGAAAACTCATTAAAACTGTTAGCATAGTGCCTGGCACATAGTACTGTCAGTAATTATCATATTTTATTATGTTGTTCTCATATTGTTGTGGCTACAAAGTAAGTCTGAGTAATACAGTTTTAATCATGTCCTCCTTTTGTAAAGAATTCTTTTTGTTTCACTCATATTAATGTCTTGGGCTCTATTGTTGAATTTACCTTTGCCACACATTAACCTCTGACAGTCTGTATTCATAACTCTGTAGCTTTCCTCAAGTAGAAAAAAGCCATTCAGATTCTTGCTTTGGAGATAGAGCTGACTTAGTGAAGCTGTGAAAGGACATAACTTAAGATTTACCCAATTTGGATGTGTTGGAATAGTTTATAGGTTTTTAGAATCATTAGAATTAAGAATAGCACATTTATGCATCTGTTTTTCTCTGCTTTCATAAGGTGAGACTTTGTCTCACTTACTTTGTCATGTTATCAGAAGGTACCATTCCCTGGAGAAGGATGTCATGCTTGGTAAGGTGGAGAGTCAACAAAGGAGGGAAAGGCCCTCAACAACTTTTGTTTTCATTCTTAATATTTCTCAAAAAGTAGGAGGAGAACCAGTGCATCAAAAACACTGCAATGCTCAGAGAAGGACTAAGAGCTCAGGGGTGATTCTTAACCCTACTAAAGGTCCACTATTAAGGCACTTGACTGTTAACCAGAAGGCTGGTGGTTCAAACCCAACAGCCACTCCTCGGAAGGAAGATGAGGCAATCTACTTCCGTAGTGATACTGCCTCGGAAACCCAAGGAGGGGTTGCTACGAGTCGGGTCTGACTCGACGGCACATAACAACAACAACAAGTAAATTTGAGTGTTTTGGAATTTTACTTATTTTTAAGTTCTTGAGTTGACAGAATGGGTAAGCTTTCAAAGAGAATAAGAATTGATCCTTTCAAAGTAAGGGAGCTCTGATGGTTCAGTGTTATGAGCTTGACTGCTAACAGAAAGGTTAGCAGTTAGAACCCACCAGCTGCTCCATGAGAGGAAAGACCTGGCAATCTGCTTAGCTGTGTTTACTATTAGGAGTATTTCTTAAAATAATACTTCCCTGCCTTCTAGCATAGATTCCATGTTTTGAAAGATCTTTTTACAAAGTGAAATAATGAGTAACAGCTCATTTACCCATCCATGTTTTATCAGCGGTTTTCAGTGATACTGACTTAAGGTGGTAAGATGATGGTCTTCCTTAAGGTAATGGAATAAGGATATATTTTGTTAGGCTAAAATGTTAAAATTTTCCCTCACAGCCCTGTTTCAGCCACTGAGGACATCAAAAGTCCCAAATTTCCTTTATAGGAATAATAAGGTTTGAACACAAGGAATGAAACTTTTGGTGAGAATTCATGGTCATCTGTACCTTTTTTAAAAATGTAAGGCACACCAAATCATAGAATACACAATCTGTTTTCCTTCTGATCAGTATCTGAATTGTGCTTCCTCTTCCTTTTCCATATGGACTAGAAGTTGAAGAGGAAAGTGGTATTGTCTAAAATCAGAGGGAAATTGGATAGCTTAGGTGTGAGATGGCTCCCAGTAAGTCAGGTACTTCAGTTTAAGGCACAGCATCAAACATTTTTATAATTCTTATCTGCATTTTGATTGTTAAAAGTACATCTTGAGTGAAAGCAAAAACACAATTTTCACCAGATGTCAGAGTAATGGTTACTGCTTGAAGGATGGGTTTTCATGGGCACACAGAGAACTACAGGGTGCTAGCAGTGTTACAGTTCATGAACTGGGTGGGTGGTAATTATACAGATGTTTACTTAGTATTTGTTCATTAGACTTCACATGTGTGTTTTAGGTATTTCTCTGCATATATGTTGTATTTTATGATAAAAGAAAATAATGTGGTCTTTTTTTTGTCCACTTAATTTCTATATACTCAATAAAATACTTTAATGATGGAGTATAGTAGTCTAACTTATTCTATTTAAATGGTTTTAACATAATCAGATATGAATAAAGAACGTATTTTAGAGTTAACTCATGTAAAACAATCAGAGTATTTCTTATCCACATAGGAGATTTTATCTGCTAACAGTCTTCTCAGAATATTTCAGAATCTTTGGTTGGATAGTCATCATAAATGTCCACCTTATCCCTTTTAAACGTTTATGGAAAACCTTAAAGCTTTCTGGGAAATACACTATTTCACCGTTCTCCCCTGTTTTCTGGATTAAAGAGTTAAAATAGTTCCCATTCTTTCTCTAATTGGAGACCTCATGTAGAAGAACCATGTAGTAACTATTCATAAGAAAGTCAGAAACACTATAATTTAACAGTTTAAATGTTTCTCACTTGAATATTTTTAGGGATAAAAAATACTATAACATAATCATATAATCAAATAAAAATATTTTGTTTGTTTCAGCACCTCTCATGAAAGTAATGCTATAATAACAACCAGCCAAAGGTATTTATTAAAATGGAGTGTTCCTCTTGGACATGTAGAAGTAATAGAATATGGCAATAATGAAGGTGCAGGAGAAAACAGCAGATATCCCCAAGTGCACTCACCGGAAAGCCTGGTGGTTGTTGCTAATGCTAAGCCAAGTAAGTGACACTGTTATTAATGTTTTGGCAAATTGTTAGGTCAGAGTAATCTCTGCCATAATTGAACTCTACTTCCTCAACTTCTAATACTAAAACAGTAAATGTGTCGGGGTAATGCAGTCTTTACAATCGATATTTTATATTGTCTGATAACCATTAACATGGCTAAATCATTTACTGATCTTTGAACTTGTTTCTCCAGTTGCTATTCCTTGTGGTGGTTTATGGTTAAATACTGTGACATTTGGAATTGTATTCTGTCTTTTCAGTTTTGATTTGTGCTCTGCATTTCTCACTAAGCTGATTAGCTCATGTCTTTTTGGTGTGCATTGAAATGATGCATAGGAAGTCCTAGAGGTTTTAGACCTTGGTTATTTGGCTCAGTTCTGTTGCTAACTTGCTTATAATGTCGAGTCAGCTATTTGAATTTCTCTTTTCTTTAGTTTCTTTTGGAGGTAGTATTTATTCTATTAACTTCACAAAGTGAAATGAGAGAAAGATGTCAAGATACTTTGGAAATATTTTTACAGTTACATAATACTTATGAGTATTATTAGTAAATGTTCAGATTGTAGATTTTAGCTTAGTGTGATAATCATTACCATCTCTTCTTTCTGTCTTTTTTTTTTTTTTTTTAAATCCAAAGAAAAACTGGCTAAGTTTTACTTGCTCTCTGGCCATTGAGCTTGTGTTTTGGAGCAATTCAATACAGTGAATGAGGATTTTAATAAATCTTTTTGCATATCAAATGAACATTAACCTTACAGATTATTTCACTTCTAACATATTCAGAAGCAAAAAAGGCAACTTCTGTAGAATTTAAATTGTCTCGGTTAATATGCACACTAACCTGGATTTACAGGAACACAACATAGTGAATTTTTGTCTAATTTGCTATGAGATCTCTTATTTTTCTTATTTCCTTAGTGTGAGTAGTCATTCAGTTTGATAATCTGCCAGATAGAATACTTCCTTAAGCATATGCTTACAATTCTAAACTTTTGAATTGCTGACTACTAAATCATATTCCTGTTTAAAATAATAATGTGTGAAACCTCTCAACTAAAACCAAAATACTAAGCTGTATCCCAGATATTCAAATGTAGTGTGCACTGAAGAGTAATGTGGAGAGGGAAAAAGGAGAGGGAGGAAGGGAGAAATATAAAGGTAAGGGTGGGAGGGGTGGAGAGAAATGATTGTCAAATTGATACCTTTCATTAAAATCCTACTTAAGAACAATGGGGTGTCTTATTCATTAAAATTTAAGACTAAATTATTTGAAAATACTGATTTTAAGTCATATTGATGGTTTGATTTTTGTGAGTAGACATGCTTTAATGTATTTTATAATGCCAACAATATTAAATGTATTTATAATTAGGAGTGCCTTACTGTGTTCAAATAGCTAAAGATGACTTTAATCCATAAAATAAGTACTGTGTAGTACACACAATATTACATTTTCTTATTCATATTTTTATTTATGGCTTATACTGAACTAATGTAGAAATAAGATTAGAATCATTAACAGTATTAAAAAAAACATAACGCAGGATGAATAAATCAATTTTTATAACATCATATGGAAGAAATAACCTGAGTAAGTTTATTACTGCATTTGAATCCTAAATTTTGCTTTGAATTCCCATTAGCTGTGGCAAAAGAATATACATTGGATATACAATCATTCATTTTGTCTATTAAAATAAAATATATCACTTGGTGAATGAATGCTTTTCTTCACACTGAATTCAATACAAATTTGTTGTAGTATCCTAAGTAAAGGGACTTTTGGAAAATATTTGAAAAGATATATGGTTATGTTTAGCACTTGTGCAGTGATTTTTGTTTTATTATGCTTCTAATTAAAAACTAGGGAGTTCTGGTGGTGTAGTTCCTAGGCACTTGACTGCAAACCAGAAGGTTGGTGGTTCAAACCCACCAGCCACTCCTCAGAAGGAAGATTGGGCAATCTATTTCTGTAATGATACTGCCTCAGAAACCCAAGGAGGGGTCACTGTGAGTCAGAGACAACTCGACGGCACATAACAACAACAACAACAATAAAAAACTAAGGACATAATTTCTGTAAAAGGAGTTTTCCTGGAAGCATCTTTTTTGCAATGCCTTAAACAGAGAATTCAAGTGAAAAACTTTGTTCAGCCATCAATAGCGAGTCATTCTACATATTCTGTGCAGAATCCATACCTTGGGCGTAATGTATCTAATCTTCATTTGCCTTTGATAGTAGAGTTCAACATCACTGAGTGTGATCTATTACTGTAATGTCCTGTATTTTAAGAAATTAGATTCTGACCATTTAATGAGTGAAAGTAGTATGAATTCTTGTCTTGTGAATTTTACCCATCTTTATGACTTTGTGCCTGATATGCAATAGGTATTCAATAAAATTTATTAGATGAAGGGAAAGAAAAAATGAGATCACCAGTCACTATTAAATTCTTAATTAAACTTTATCTATCTAAATAGATCTTTTCTAGACCAATCACTCTTCTGGTAATCCAAAAACAAATAAGGAAATGAATAAGGCATAGACTGTACTATCCTCATAGGGAAGGAGACAGACTTATTAATACACTAATACAACCCAATGTAATACATTCCATAATCGAAACAAAGGCAGAATACTTTGGCAGCTCAAAAGGAGGTGATATTCTTAGAGAAGATGCCTTTTAAATTTGGTTTTGAAGAGTGACTGGGGTTTTAATAGATGGAAAATACTGATTAATTAAGTCACATTCATTCATTCACTTTAGTTAATCTTTATTGATCAACTAACTACTCAGGGCTGCTTTTCTTGGGATGGCTCTATATTAAGGCTGGGGCTGAGGCAGGAGGGCCGGAGACTCAGAGGCTGCTTTTTGCTTGGGAGCAGCTCTATTTTAAGGCCAGGGCCCAAGATATGTGGCACAGGGCTTGGGGGCTGCTTTTGCTTGGGGGAGGCTCTATTTTACGACCAGGGCTGAGGTAGGCAGGAACAGACGGGTTAGGAACAACTAAGGGAGATGAACTTGTCTGTCAGTTTGTCATCCTGTGGTGGCTTAAGTGTTGCTGTGAGGCTGAAGGTTATGCTACCAGTGTTTCAAATCCAGCAGATTACCCATGGTGGATAGGTTCAGCAGAGCTTTTGGGCTTAGACAGAAGAAGGAAAAAACCATCCACTTCTCAAACAACTGGCCAGTGAAAACCTTATGAATAGCAGTGAAACGCTGCCTGACGTATTACTGGAAAACTTTATGAATAGCCCTGAAACATTGTCTGATATAGTGCTGGAAGATGAACCCTTTATGCTGGAAGGCACTTAAAACTTGAGGAAGAGCTGACTCCTCAGAGTAGAGATGACCTTAATGATATTGATAGAGTAAAATTTTCAGGACCTCCATTGGCTGATGTGGCATGACTCAAAATGAGTAGAAACAGACACAAGTATCCATTAATAATTGGATCATGAAATGAAAGAAGTATGAATCTAGGAAAATTGGAAGCTGTCAGAAATGAAATGGAATGCATAAAGATCGATATCCTAGGTGTTAGTGAGCTGAAATGGACTGGTTTTGGACAATTTGAATCAGACAACCATATGATCTACTATGTCGGGAATGACAAATTGAAGAGGAATGGTGTGGCATTCATTATCATAAAGACTGTTTCAAGATCTGTCCTGAAGTACAATGCTGTCAGTGATAGGGCAATATCCATACACCTACAAAGAGGACCAGTTACTACTTGTTGTTGTTGTTTGCCGTCGAGTCTACTATTATTCAAATATATGCACCAATCACCAAAGCCAAAGGTGAGGAAATGGAAGATTTCTACCAACTTCTGCAGTCTTGAAATTGACCGAACATGCAATCAAGATATGTTGATATGACTGGTGACTGGGATGCAAAATTTGGAAACAATGAAGAGTTACAGGTAGTTGGAAAATAGTCTTGGTGATAGAAATAATGCTGGAGATTGCATGATAGAATTTTGCAAGACCAAAGACTTACTCATTGCAAATACCTTTTTTCAACAACATAAGCGATGGCTATACACATGCATCTAAACCAGATGGGATACAAATGAATCAGATTGACTACATCTGTGGCAACAGGCTATGGAGAAGTTCAATATCTTCAGCCAAAACAAGACCAGCAGCTGATTGTGGAACACGTCATCAACTACTCATATGCACATTCAAATTGAAGTTGAAGACAATTAAAACAAGTCCACAAGAGCCAAAATATGATGTTGATAATATCCCTCCTGAATTTAGAGATCATCTAAAGAATAGATTTGATGCACTGAACACCAGTGACCAAAAACTAGAGGAATTGTGGGATGACATCAAGAACATCATCCATGAAGAAAGCAAGAAGCAATTAAAAAGACAAGAAAGGAAGAAAGGGTGAAAATGGATGTCAGAGTAAACTCTGAAACTTGCCCTTGAATGGAGAGTAGCTAAAGCCAATGGAAGAAATGACAAGATAAAAGAGCTGAACAGAAGATTTCAAAGAGCAGTTCGAGCAGACAAAGCCAATTACTATGTGCAAAGACATGGAGTTAGAAAACTAAAAGGGAAGAACACACTTGACATTTCTCAAGCTGAAAGAACTGAAGAAAAAATTCAAGCCTAGAGTTACACAATCTTGAAAGATTCTATGGGCAAAATATTGAATGATGCAGGAAGCATCAAAAGAAGATGGAAGGAATACACAGAGTCACTATACCAAAATGAATAGGTCAATGTTCATCCATTTCAGGAGGTGGCATATGATCAAGAACCAGTGGTATTGAAAGAAGAAGTTGAAGCTGTACTGAAGGAATTGGCAAAGAACAAGGCTCCAGGAATTGGTGGAATACTCAATGAGATGTTTCAACAAATGGATGTTCCATTGGAGGCACTCATTTGGCTATGCCAAGAGGTTTGAAAGGCTACCTGCCTAACTGACTGGAAGAGATCCGTATTTGTACCCATTCCAAAGAAAAGTAATCCC